TTGTCTCCCTCTCCTGTCTCCCCCCTCTCTCTCTCTCTCCCCCTCTTTCTCTCTCTCTCTCTCTCTCTCTCTTAATTGAACTTAATTGAATTATCATTAATGAACTAATTTTTGGATTAAAATGCCAATATCAGACAGCGACCACCAGACATGCAGCCTATCATTACATGAACCATCATTCTATAAGCACAAATTACTTCCTTTAATGATTAAATTGCGCTCGCTGTCACTACATACGGTGCTTTCAGTACCCTATAGCAAAATAAGTGCTCCATGTACAGGAAATGCGCAGGTATATTGTATGTGATCATTTGATTATTTTAAGTTGCATGCATTTCCTCTTTCCAGGAAGCAGTCCTTGCTATGGGGGTGGAATTCTCACATCCAACCCAACCTATTATTTACATCCAACATTTAATTAAGAGAAAATGTTCAATGTACACTTTGCTGTGAGCAGCCCCAGAGACTGGTAATGAATTCCTCTATAGCTATGTACAATGTACAGTTGTGTGCTGTTAGCTGCAGGGAGATCAAGGAGTAAAAATCCCCCCGCCACATCTTCTGCTGGCTTATAAATGTCACTGACAGCCAATCAGAGCAAGAGTAGGAAAGTTTAATCCATGTAAAAAAAGTCTATGTAGGGTCAGAGAATAATAAAATGCTTAATAATAATAAATTGTGTAAGTAAATGTGTAAGATTGAAAGGCAGGGTATCAATACATAGTTACATAGTATTTGGGGTTGAATAAAGACATACGTCCATCAAGTCCAACCCATATATAATATAATCAACTTTATTAATAGTATTCCATTTCCTCACCAGCCTTGTTTCCTTATGCTCTGATGCCTTTACAGGCTCTAGAAGTGCCCTTTGCAGCAATTGGAAAATGTTTAGCTTTTGTCTGTTGCCGCCTGTGTACTCCTCAGTGGGGCTCATTTGCTAAAAAGTTATTATTTTTATCTTTCGTAAAGTGAACCTGTCATTGCTTTAAGTAGCCTTTCATGTGTAGATGTTCCTCCCTGCCCCTGATTCTGCCTTTAGCCTGCTTAAATAAACTGTATATAGTGATGGACAATGGCCCTTGGCAAAGAGCAATGGCTGAGTATAGAGACTTCAAAGGCCTGTACACAAGGCAGGTTGTAAACACTGTTCAGAAAGGTGACCTTTATAATGGAGCCACATTCAGATATTGAACTTTTTGGAAAGATGGAGTCACCCTTGAAACATATGACCATCTTGCAGACAAAGGTCTGTAGCACGATATTGGACTAGTAGTTCTACATACGTTACCTTCATAGCAGCGAGCCAAGAATTCTCTACCTGGCCGCCACACGATTGGGTGAGCAATCGTGTTTGGGCCTGTGATGAGATTGGGAGCATTTTGGATGACCATCAACTGGGAAAATCCATCCTGGCTGGTTGATCCTCACTCGGCTAATGGGATGTCAAGGACGGCTTACAGCGGGGTTGGCAACCTTGAAACTCCGGCTCCGTGCCTCTGCCTATGGGAGTCATGCCTGTGTCTGTTAGAGTCTTGCAATGCCTCATGGGACTTGTAGTTCCACCATAACTGGAGTGCCGAGGTTGCCCACCCCTGGCTTACAAACATACGATTGTTCCAAAAATGTTGCAGTTGCTCTCTTATGTGTGTAGTTACCTTCAGATATATTGCTTTACTTACCAACTGCAGTCAACCGGTAGTACAGGGGGTAAGCAAATGTTGTAGAACTACAAGTCCCGTGACGCATTTCAAGACTCTGACAGCCGCAGGCAAGACGCCCAGAGGCAGAGACATGATGGGATTTGTAGTTTCAGCACAGCTGGGGTGTCAAGGTTGCCCACCCCTTCTGAATTGCCTTTGTACATCGGGGTGCCATTCAAAATGAACAGAGCTTGTGGTAACGTGCATTTTACCGTAACCCACTGCAGCGGTAAAGTGTGTTTTGGCTCCAGTGGTTGCAGTAGCTGGAATTATAATATCCATCTGATGTGGAGGAACTACAAGTACCAGCATGCCCTCCTGGGTTGCAGTTCTAGGGCCTATTTTACAGTCCCGCCATACTCAGGCCTGCGCTGCATGCAGGAATTTCCATTCCGCCATTAAAATAACCAGTGATCAATCGCCTGTTGTGGAGTATATTGTTTGATTCATAATAGCAAGAGCTTCATTGGTGATTTCCAATCACATGATCATAGTGACTGCCACGGATTATAGAAGCTCAGTGCTCCAAATGAGTCACATTGCAGATGGAAGAAGCGATTTTTGTTTTTTAATATTGTTTGAGTGATTGATTACACTCGCTTTCACATTCAATCAGGATCCGCATTGTCTCTGTATGGATGCGGCCATCTTGGTACAGGCAGGGCTTTGCTTCCTCATGTCAGAGCCTCCAGCCAGAACACTGAGCAGCACAGTAAGGACATCACTTCTCACACCTCCAAGGAGTGACCTCAACACCTCCTACTGTGACCCCCCTTGGATAGTTTAGGTGGATTGGATACAGATCGATTGGATAGTTTGGGCAGATTGGATACAGATTGATTGGCTAGTCTAGGTCGATCCTCACATCACACAGTTTTGCTCCATCTAAAGCTGACTGTAGATTACATACTCAGATTGCAATGTGTATGGTGACCCTAAAACCTGCTCTTCGGGATTACAGGGTGACAGTACTTTCTGTTTCTTATAATAGATGCTGGGATCATTCACCCCTCCCATCAGCCCCTCCTGTCCCTCACCAACCCCTCCTGCTCCTCAACAGGCCCGCCTTCCCCTCACCAACCCCTCCTGCACCTCAACAGCCCCTCAATAGCCCCTCCTGTCCCTCACCTGTCCCTCCTGACCCTCAATAGCCCCCCCTGCCCCTCACGCCCCTCAACAGCCCCTCCTGCCCCTCACCTGTCCCTCCTGACCCTCAACAGCCCCTCCTGACCCTCAACAGCCCCTCCTTCCCCTCACCAACCCCTCCTGCCCCTCAACAGCCCCTCCCCCGTCCCTCCTGCCCCTCAGCATCCCCTCCTGTCTCTCACCTGTCCCCCCTGCCCCTCAAAAGCCACTCCTGGCCCTCACCTGTTACTCCTGCATCTAACCTGCCCCTCCTGCCCCCAGTATTACAGGACTGCTATTAGCATAGTAAAGGGCAATGTTTGATGCCCCGGGGCTGTTTGTGTACCCCTGCAGCTCCCCATTGTAAATCAATGAAGAGTCTGCTTTGTTGCATGCTCTGGGTCCAGCTCTGACACCCCCGTCACTGTGTGAATGGGTCCAGTATATATTCTCCTTGTTATTGGAGGCGCAGTGTACAGCTTTGTTGTTGGGAACTAGTTGGACGGGTTGTAGGGTGTTGCTGTCGCGTTCGCAGGCTTTGGCCAATGGCACCAGATCCACCCAACTGTGCGTAAGAGCGCAATTGGGGATTTAACGGAGCCTATGGCGATGTGCAGCCCATTGCCAGCCAGTCACAGAGCCTCCCCCTCCTCTCGCCTGCTCCTCCCTCCTGACTTGCTCCTGCTGCCGAAACTTGCTGGAGCACTCAGGAAGCCTCATCAGACTCTCTCTCACTATTTTAGGGACGCTTCAAGCTGTGGAATGGCTTCTTGAAACCGACGCCCCCCCTCAAGCGCCAATCCGCGTCAACTGAACCCCCTGATTCTGCACCAGCCTGGTCCTAGAGCATGACAGGAGTCTATGAAAGGAGACTTCCCACCATCAGAAGCAACGATTATTCTTCTACTTCTTCTTTCCAAGCTGCCGGCATCATGCACCATCCCTCACAGGATTCGCCCACCTTACCTGAGTCCACGGCCACCGACTCCGGCTATTACAGCCCAGGAGGGGCCACCAGCCACCCGCACCATGGTTACTGCTCGCCCACCTCTGCCAGCTACGGCAAGGCGCTCAACGCCTACCAGTACCAGTACCATGGCATGAATGGATCTGCTGCGGCCACTTACCCTGCCAAGACCTACGCCGATTATAGCTATGGGAGCCCCTACCACCCTCACCACCAGTACGGAGGGGCGTACAACCGGGTGCAGCCTCCCAGCAGCCAGCCAGGTAAGCGAAATGGGTGACGGGCTCTGCGCTGGGCTCTGAAAGCGAAATGGGCTCTGCGCTGCGCTGGAGGTCCGGAGTCTTTGGGGGGGTCGCTGCCTTCAGCCCCCCCTTGTTCGTATCTGGGCTGCCAGCTATTCGTGGCTGCGGTCGGCAGCCGTCTCGGGCAGTCCTAAAGCCATGTCTGTGCCTCTTCCTTCAAGGGTTTATCTCCCCCGTTCCATTTATAACCCCGGCGCCGCCAGTCAGCACCACAACAAACCGCAAAGCTCATTCCAAAGAGAACAAACAAAACAAAAGCAGAATAGAGACACCAGAGAGGCGGCTCGCAGCACCCGGCGGGCATGAGGGCTGCATGGGGGCCCCCATAGGAAACACATATTATACATACTATAAATACTAAACAAATATGTCTGTAAATGTTCAACTTCATGTGTGTAAAAATATATATATAGAATTATATACACATGTAGAAAGCTGTGTGTGTGTGTGTGTGTGTGTGTGTGTGTGTGTGTGTGTTTGATATGATGGAGCTTTCTACGATATTTGTTATATATTGTACATGCACAAAGCTGTGTGTGTATGTGTTCCATATAATGAACATGCATGTAGCATAGTGTGTGTGTGTGTGTGTGTGTGTGTGTGTAAACGATGTGCTATATAATATACATGCATGTGGCTTTGTGTGTGTGTGTGTGTAAAAATATGTACCATATAATATACATACATGTGTGTGTGTAATATGTAATAAACAATGTTGCTTTCTAAGATATTTACTATATAATGTACATGCACAAAGCTATGTATGTGTGTGTAAAATATGTTCCATATAATGGACATGCATGTAGCATAGTGTGTGTGAAAAATATGTACTATATAGTGTACATACATGTGGCTTTGTTTGTGTGTGTGTGTGTGAAGTATGTCATATATAATGTGGCTTTTTGTGTGTTTAATATATTCATTATGTAATAAACGTGCATGTAGCATAGTGTGTGTGTGTGTGTGTGTGTGTGTGTGTGTGTATCTATGTGTGTGTGCGAGTAAAATATGTACTTTATAATATGCATGTGGCTGTGTGTGTTTGAGAAATATGTACTATATAATGTAG